TTTGAACACACTCCCAGCAATGATGAAGGTGGGGAGAATTTATTCCAAAAACACAATCTGCACGCAGCCCCTCCTTTGTCCTGTCTCTTTCAATTTAAACACACTCCCAGCAAAGGTGAAGGAGGGGAGCTTATTAGAGAGAAATTTGGTGAAACGGTTTTTATAAACCTGGAAGGAAGCATTTAAACCATGCAAATATGCGTTGGGTATGTGTATATGCCCGCGTTTCACATCATGGTGATGGGCAGCAGGTCATCGGAACAGTTCTATCTTGCCTGAGAGGTCGAGATTTCGGTTTGAAACGTTGAGTTGGAGCCAGTGTTCATGATTTCTTGCGACATCCACTCTAGCATAGGTTCATGGTTGGTGGTTGACGTATTCATTCTGTACGCATTGTAGTCTACCTTCATGTATCGTCCACTTGCAGTCAGCACTTTTGAAGATATGTTCAAGAGTTGTACTGAAGCCATTGTTAGGAATCCAGGTTCAAGTATCTTTCATTGGTGCATAAGAGCCGGATTGGAGTGATGGCTGTCTTCTCCATCAGTGTGCATTCCTGGTAACGCTCTTGTGCAGGTAAGGCATTGAAGGTAGGTTTCCATGACTTTCCAGTGTTGTGCATGAACTGCTCACATGACTGAAAAGCTTTCCTTTTTCTTGTGGTGTTGTCTTAGTCAGGGCCACACAGCCTCTTGTTGCTTTATATTATTTCGCTTTGTAGGATTGCTCTTTGCATGCTTCTCAGTACTTTGTACTATTATGAAAGCAGCTACTAGCCCGTGTCGATTGTGGTACTTTTATTTGGTGTTCCACAAACTTCTTGCTAGATTCATTTGCACACAAAGCAAAAAATCAAAGCATGGGCATCACACTTGCTTTGAGTTTTCTGTTGTTCTTACTGTATTTTAGCCAGGGTTGGTGCCAGGATTGTTCTATACCAGGGATGCACCCTCAATAAGAGAAGTCCTTCAAGGGGTGAAAACTTCATTGTGTTATGACTATGTTCCCTCTTGGAAACATAGTCATGCGTACCCCTGGCACCACCCCCTGTTTTAGCCTGTGTTATTTGACTGCTGATGACCTCGCGTGACAGCTCTCTCTCATGCACTCGTTGTTTGTCAGTTACTTACTCGCCTTATCAGTTGAAGACTGTTCATCGGTCAAAGATAAACCTCTGTAGCTTCTTGTTTTGTAATTTGCTGTTGGCGTATTGTCCATTTCTTTTCTCAGTGTAACCTCATCTTACTTGGCTGGAAGATGAGCAACGTTTCAACTTTCAACTTTTAGCACGTTTTTATTCACTGCAAAAGTAATCGCCGCTCCTTTCTCTGGAATTCTGTTTTGGGTGTTTGGCCTGTCAGTACTTCTCCTCTTAGCTGGTGAGAGTATTGTAACTAGACTATGTCATTGCAGCCTCCTGGTGCTGGATACAGTGCTCACTCAGCCAGCCGTTTTAGCACAACAGAAAACATGAAAAGTGTGGACTAATCACTACAGGTGTACCCTTTCTTGGTTGCGGCTGGTGTATCATTGCATTGGTGATGTGCAGAGTATGTATTGCTAGCTCGACAGGCAAGGCCTGTTCTTTTAGTTAGCTGTAAATCAGGTGCGAAAAGTACTATTAACACTTGCTAAGGTTATAGCTTCTTCAGGTGTGAATTATGATGCACTGCCAATAAATGTGCAAATTCAGATAACACAATCACAAGGCACTCAATATTACATTCTAAGGAAGAAAATGATGCGTTCTTTTGTGTGAGCTTCAGCAAGCCATTGAAATTTCTAAGAAATTAAATACTTTATTCTGTTGTAAGTTATATTAACTTTTGATGTAAAAAGAATAAAATCATGAGCTCATGTTGTTTGTACATTCAGTTTTTCATTGCGTTAATTTCGAGAGAAGAAAAGCAACACTTGTTTGTTATGGAACGTAATTTCACCGGCCCATCAAAGATAACAGTCCCTTCACTAGAGGGATCGGCTACGGTTTTTCTCAGCAGACTGAGGTCAAGTCGGACATAAAAATGTTCCACAACAAAATTCTAAGTTGCGAAGACCCACGAAGACAAGGTTCTGGACGCCCACACACTCCACCACACTTTACCAAGCATTCGCTGCAATGTACGTAATTCGTGTGGTCGTTGCGATACAGGATGGGAGCGCCGCTTCGCATCCTGACACACACATCGAGTCGTTGTGTGTGTCAGATTACGGCTAATGCGTGTGTTGTATGATTCAATTACCGTAACGCAATTGATAACCCCCAGTTCTCGCACGTCAAGCACTTGCATGCCGTCAACTGGTACAAAACTGTGAACGCGAAAAAAAAAACAAATCGGTCACGGCGATAGCATTGCAGGACACATGATACGATACGATTTTTGTCCGATATCCGTGAAATCCAAGCGCTTGGCGTGGCATCGCCGGCGCGATGCAACGAAACGAACGCCGGCTTGCGCCGGGTCACGTCGAAGTGCGTCGCGTATGGCAGTTGCATCCGCGTTTGCTTCATCACACAGATCTGCACGATTTTCATCTGGGAAAGCACCGCATCGGACGTCTGATAGGCGACTAACTCAATTAATGTTTCCCAGTAAAATACTCTACCTTGCGCAACTTTAATCAACAATCATGCAGATCAACGAGTTGTGCATGATTTATTGACAAAATATATTTCTCATGCACTTGGCATACAACTCCTTCAAACTTGAAAAATCGATGCGTGAAGTGGCACCAGAACAGTGCCAAAAAGCCGCAGACGCAGAAATTAGCTCATATACCGGTTCACTATTATGCAAACAAAGTTGAGGCGTTAGCCAACGCCGGCAAAAATACTCGAACGACGGGCCAATAATGCCAGCCTCATTGCATGGCTCCGCCCTTATTGGCTGCTTGGTCGAAATTTCCGGAGCCCTCCACTACGGCGTCTCTCATAATCATATGGTGGCTTTGGGACGTTCAACCCGACAAATCAATCATTATTGGCTGCTTGTACAACTCGGTCCAATGTGACCGTTCTAATACGCTGGCACGGCCAATATATGCGGAAAGTTCTGAATGCTGGTCCAACATTGCTGTTCTATGATACTGGAAATACCATAATTCACGGAACGTCGTCAATGCTAGCCCAACATCGCCGTTCTATTTGGCTGGCACCGCCATTATTGGCGGTACGTTGTCGATGCTGGAACAATCTTGGGCCATCAACTGCCATTTCATCCCCAACATTCGGCCAACGTTCTGTGCTGCCTGGGATGGTGTGGCTGTGGACTACATAACGCAAACGTGACTTGTATCAAACGTTTCTAGCCCGCTATAGAGGCCCCTTCGTCGTTTTTTCACGCCTTAGCGACGTTACATACCTGATATCACGCCTCACATCTTCTGGCCATCGGTCCAGGAAAACTAACGTCCTACATGTCGCCCGTTTGAAGCCATACCACGCGCGACACTGACTAAATCGCCCAGTGGGCATCGTCTGCAACGGGGCCAATTATACGGGACTTTCGTTGAAGCGCGGTTAAGAAAAAAAATTTGCCCGATTCTACATGTTACACTGTAAATGTCGTCGAAAGACGATAGACTTGCGTCTGGAGAAAGTGAACAAAACGTTTATTTGATGTTCTACGCAAGATAATCGGTGAATGGTATTCTGCAGGTGCTGCGTTAGAGTGCCTCGAGCGTTTGGCGGAGGCGAGCGAGCGCATCTAAGCACGTTAGGCACAAGTGCCATCTGGCAGCTATCTTCGACAACGAAGGCGTGCAGCACGCAGAGAAAGATGCGTGCCAGTCTCGGAGGGGATAAGGTGTAGAACGCAAAGCGACGGGCAGGTGCCACCACCGTGCAACGTAGCAAAGCGTTAGAAACACTTTTTCGAGCATCCCGTTGCACTGTCAGCCCAGCGCGATGAAACGCTACATTTTTTAGAGTTACTTGTGTGTGCGTCTTCCAATTTAAAGGCAGACATAGAAAACATAGAAGCGTTGTTGCGGCGCCTCAGATATGCACAATAACTGCTTTTTATTTACGATCGCACAACTATGAACGCTAAACCTTGAGCAATATTAGTGGGCACTGCGAATGGGGTTGGCCGTTTGGTGCCGTTTGAAATATCGATAGGGTGGACAAACAGACAATTGCACAGACAGACAGACCAAAATTTTCCCGTCGAAGGTTCCCAAGAAAGACTATCGTCTTTAAAAGAAGTGAATGTGTTCTGTGTCAGGCCTGACTTCTGCAACCATCCATCATCCCACCTGTAGAATAAACATCTCTCACCCCTAACAGTATCATGTTTCACCTAAAAAGAACTGCTACCATAACACGGCGCCTAACGATTTGGGTCCTTCTGGGTTGTTTTAAGCGGTTGTGATTAGGTTTTCCGCAAAACTGGAACAGCAAAACTTTTTTCTGTATCTAAGGCAAGCGCGAGCGTGAATGCTTGGAATGTTCTCTCATAAAAAAAAGGTGACGTGTTCCTCCCACAACCAGATTACTGTTGGCCAACGATTGCCATTTTCGCATTCAGTTTACTGCGTCTAGTACTATAGTTATTTGCATTTTCAGTTTCATTGGGCACACGTTCACCGAATGAACAGTTCAATTTAACTCCTGTTGGCGTCTCATCCATGCGACAACTTTGAATCGTGTTTAATGCTTTCTCGTGGTGTTAATAATAATATTAACACTAGTAATATTATTGTGGGCGTTTGTTACTTACATTTATTACATTTACATTTTTTACACTCATATTATTACATTTATCACAGGTTACTTACATTTATTATTATTTGCTCCGTTTAGCATCCTAAAACCCCGAAATGGTTTTAGGGGTGCTCTACTGAAGGCCACCATAATTATTTCTTCAACTGGCATTCTTTAAGCTCGCCTAAATTTAAATACGCATACCTCAGGCTTTTCGCTTAAAAAATTCGGCTACTTTGGCCATTCTTCTTTGGCTGTCGACTCCTTTGTAACTCACGTATTACAATCTTAATTATATGTACCCAACTCGTTTTATTTCATTTGATGCGCGAAGTTCAGCACTTGCTAGGGCCGACACAAATATCCACTTTTCGTATGCAGCTTGTTAGGAAAACTGGGTAACTTGAGCCACATAGTTTATCAAACACAGCGTCACATATAGTTGCGTTTTCAACATTTCTTCTCCAGACGTACTGTTTGCACTTGTTCTCTGCAAGAAAAGATGAAAGGTCATTGTTGTGTGATTCCTGGTGTCATGGAAGCACAATATTGCGGCACACCTTTCTGTACATGTCACTACATGAAGCTATACCTCCAACTCTATACCTGCTGCCTCAGCCAACTCAGTGTGACCATGCCGGTCACGAGACCAGTGTATTGCTAACCAATCGCCCATATTTCCCCACATTAACCCACCCGTAATAAACGCGGGAAAGCAGTCTCCTGTCAGTCTCGCCGTGTCATTTCTCTACGCACCCTCCCGTTGTTAGGCCCCTCCGCCGACCTCTACGCGGCGGGCTGCTGCCGCTTTTTCCCTTACAAAACAAATGACAATGAGTTAACGAATCGCTACGCTCATCAAGCGACGCCAGGAAGAGCACGACGTCAGCGACAATTCACTCAGCGGGACACATATTTTGTTGCTACATCGGTGACTTTCCTCCAAGCTGCAGTGATGTCGACCTGACCTTGCTTTGTTCGTTCTCCGGCCACTGTGCGACGACACCTCCCGCTTGAACGTACTTGCTGCTTTCAGCATGGCAGCCCTTCTTGCCAACCTTGCTGCTTTCGTTGATGTGCCTGGCACGCATAACATTCCATGGCATTTATGGAGAAAAAATTTCCATGTTCACCTGAAGGCAGACTGGGGAAGCGGCTGATGATGAAAGACTGGCGTCAGCGCTCCTGAGAGCCCTCCACATCGAGAGACAGCGCAAATACATCACGGCGTAGAAGCAGCTCGAAACGCAAGGAGGGCAACGTAGAGCAATACGCGGGCACTGGCCTACTAAAAACCCAGAGACGGTTTTACGGGCCCTATTAGGCCGCGTAAGGTGCCATTGAAGGGGGGACCGGCTGGACCCGGGATCGAAGTGGCGAGCTAGAATACGGCCGGAGTAGGACTTTACTTATTCATTAAAGAAGACAATGAATTGGTAAAGACTGATAAAGCGTACGCTGAGGACTCTAAAACTTTTATCTGCCCCTCATGAGCTTATTATACAACAAAATATTGTTCAGAGTTCCAGTTTTGAATTCCGAGCCGAAATCTTCACGCCTGGTGGCACCAGTTTGCCGTAGTTCGGAGACGTTGCCCGAATGGGCTTTCCTGAAATTGTTTTTTTTAAATCTAAATAACCTTGAGAGGCCAATGCACTTAACATTTACGGATTAATTTTCACCGATGTCGGCCATACATGTCTTCGAAGGGCATGACGTCACGGCGTTTGGTGCGCGAGTTTCAATGTGGCATCGCGATCAGGATTTACTTTTTGCAAGTTTAATGTATTGTCGCGTAGAGCGTTGTCATTTTGTAATTTAGAAACAGTAATGTTTTGTAGAAAAAAAACTTGTGTTTAGTTTAGGGTCCCTTTCAGATTGCCCACTTACATTGTGCATACACATAAATCTGTTTCGCATAATATATCTCGAAAAATGCTTCTTTTGTGTAGGGTCAACCTATTTGTAGAAGTTTTATGAAGAACCCCTGTTGAACTTCTTTTGCATCTTGCATATACATCTACTTGATTTATTGTAGCCGCTTATAGAGTTAACATATCACTATTATTTCTTCTATTAATTGCATTTGCAAATATAATATACACTAAATTTCATTTTACGTAGTGACAGTGTTAGACGTATTACAAAGAACTTGTCTAATAAATGTATGTCTTTAAAACTGATCATCGCAACAGCATTTAGAGCAATCCAAAGTAAGGCAACATTCCCGAAGTTCTTGCAGTCAACTTAAGTGGAAAGTCTGTGCGTACTCTCTTAATATAGAGTCACTATTACGTCATGTTCTTTTTGCGAGCTTGATCACGCTTCTCAGTGCTCATGTGACGCGACTCAAACAGGCACGGCCTGCTTTGTGTGTTCACATCAATAACGTGGGAGTTTTCGTCGAGCTTTGTCGTATGGTGCGACAGATATCGGACACTGCCGCAGCACCGTTATGATAGACAGGTATAGTTTCGCGGGATTGGCGGGACAGCGGGATTGGAATACGCATGCGCGGCACGTTATATGCGTCACACCGTGCATCTTGCGGACGCCATTTTTCAGTTTTACCGTTACCATGCTGCCTTGGTTTACTTAGTGTACGTAATACATGGCAGTGGTTTTGGATGCCCGCTTCGACCTGAATTTAGCCTTGGTGTGAATGTATTCACTTCTTTCTTTCTAAATGACTGTGTAAAATGACTTTCTTTGTCTTCACAACGCTTTTCTTAGAAAAATTCCTGTGACTTGAGCCGAAGAGCTGGTTCCCGGCCATATCCTGTTCTCTCTTCCTCTTCTCCCCCAAACATTGTCGGCTGCGAGCGCTCGCTGCGGTGGCCGCTTTTAACCTTGTGGCCTCTGAGATTAAAGCATTCTGTTCTGCCGTCTCGGAAGCAACATATTTATGCACCTGTGATGTCGTCACTTCCGATTCCAGCTGAAGTAATAGGAACGGCTGTGAGCGCTTCTACCGGAGAAAGCACTGAACCACGAGAAACCTCGCGTCCCCATGGGAAAGCGTGTGATGTCGCAGGCATCTTCCTAGAAGAGGCGTTTTTCAGGTAACCTCAGCGGCCGTGTATTACGAATTACTTAGCCTCGTTTTTGAGATCACTTACGATTTCGAACGTCCCCGCGGTGCCGCGCGGTTAATGCACCGAAGACACGTGAACCAAACAAACAAAAGTAATGTTCTGGCGCGTTCGAGCGCTTACTATTTTCCTTTATTCTACCACGTCCAAGGATACGTTGATGGGTGAGTGGCTCATCATGCCACTGCTCTAATGCCAGTGAAATCACACAGATTTTATGACCGGTAACAAATAGCAAGCTTGATTATTGGTGCGGCGGTGACCATAGAATGAAGAACCATTTTAGAGAAAGGAAACTGTAGCCTTGACAACACTACACAAGATAACCAGCGGTGCTGCATGGTACTGCCGAGGGCAACCAAGAGATGGCGCTGAGTGAACAAAAAGCCGAAAACACTTTTTTTTAGATAGTAAAAAATTGTCGCCTTTATTTATTCCGTACCGGGTACGTACTCTCCTACGCGGTCGCCTAGGCTGATTTTTTGTGTTATGGCTATCCCTTTTCTTTAAACAGAAGTAGACGAAAGACACCGGGACTTGTGCAGGGAGATGGGCGTCTTATTATCTTTCACCCGATTGTTTTAAGCGCATCAATACGCTCAGCAGCATACCAAAGCGCCCTTCGGAAACAGTACCTGTGCGCACAATGATTACATGGAACAGCAAGGCTTTCATTGGCAGCAGGTACCAGTAAAAAAATTCACGAGTGAGTACGGGAAACAACATTTATTGACAGCCATCCAGCAATCCAGTGTTAATGCGAAAAAAAATTGAACTCGCATTATAGTGAGTTCAAGAACGGCACGCCCTCGTTTTCATACGCAATCAAACAGAAAAGCGTGTCTCGTTAGTAGGAACTATCATTACAAAACAGTGGTAAAAATAAGCATGAGGTGCTTCAGTAGCAGCTTTGAATTACAGCTCCCACTTTTGCCGAGCACGGCCTCAACACCCACACTTTTTATTGCATCATGACATAGTGCGGTGAAGCTGAGGACCCTAGGAGGTTCAGTTTTTCGCAAGTAAATCACGATGGAGCAAAAGGCGGGAGAAGTACAAGCGTTTGAACACGTGCAGGAACAGTGCAAATGAACGTATTGCACAAATACACGACACCGACATCAATACCAAAGTCTGAGAAAGAAAAAATAACAAATATGCGTGCATTGACCTAAGTAATCTAATTGTCATCACCGTGGAAATTGAAGAAATCGATGCCTTCACCGGTATGACAGTTCCTGCGGAACCATACACCAGTAGAGCGACTATACCGACAGCAGCCGCAGTGACCTATCGAAGCGAATAAAAACGTACTCGAAAGAAAACGGAACGCCAAGGACCACGCCAAGCATCGAATGAAAACTAGCTGCGCATATGTGCATCGGCTTTCCTTGTCGAACAGCGGCCGCACATGTTTTTCGCTTCGTCACTGTCACAGATAAGAACATCCATAGTAGAACTGTGAAACTCGCATGACTTGATTGAATAATATGTGGGGTTTAACGTCCCAATACCATCATATGATTGAGACGCTGTAGCGGAGGGCTTCCGAAATTTCAACCACTTGGTGTTCTTTAACTTGCATGAAACCACGATCACTAAACAAATTTAGTGCTCAGAAGTACTACGAACAACGTGGAATCCATATGTTATCCTTCAATTATATAGGAAAGAGCACTTTTTTTTGCAAAAATGGTGGCTTTTTTCGCTTTAAATTTAGAGCTTATTATGGTGCCCCTAGCGGTTTTTCTGGCGTCCCGGAGGACATATTTGAATGGAGCCACTGTGGTACATTTTTAGCTGTTGAGTTTTTCGCCCCCAATCGGTAATGCGTGGAGCTTGAGACTTTCCGAGGCCTGGGCAGACCACGAAATCACGCTGGCTAGCAAAACAACGCCGCACGTACGCTCAGGTCTTGGGCTTGCTCGGGCTCGTGATGCACACCAGTGCTGACGTGCGAATCACGTGTTCCTCTCCCTCGGATGCCGGAAAAGGCAGGGAGAGTATTTGGCTTGCGAAGCCTACATTGAACGAGGGGCAATGGTTTTGAGCTCTCCTCATCGCTGTATGGTTTCGCACCACTTCAAAAACCAGTTTGCTGAGATCATAAAGAATGGACCAGAAAACAATCCTTGTGGCGTAATGATACACACAACAACTGCCACCATGGAGCTAAACTTTGTTATGGTGTGGCAGCTGCGTTCCCGCTGGAGTCGGAAACGTTTGAGGCCCGTATGTTTGCATGTAAGTGCATCTTACAGAACCCCAGGTAATAGAAATTTTCGGAGCTCTCTACTACGTTGTCTCTCATATTCAAATCACAGTTTGGGTACGTTGAACCACAGATATTGTAATTTTCATTATTACAATTTGTTGTGACTTTTGAGCGGCCCTTTAG